ATACAATCGACATTTTTCTAAAAACCAGATTTAAAAATTGGCATTTCGAATTTTTCAAAAAAGAATTTACATTATGCTTAAAAATTTTTATTTCTGTATTAAAAAATAAAAACAAAAAAAACTATTCATGTGCACAAGTGTCAATAAATTATGTATGTCATTTTCAAACTTCTTATGGCTAAAAAATACGCATTTTATATTTATAAAGTGTATCAGAAAACAATGGTGTATAGTGTATTGGTTACTTTGGGTTACCGTTATACAGTTAAGACTATTAAGTTGATGAATTTAGAATGTACCTTCTGCTAAAATCTAAATGATGTTTCTATAATTGATTATTACAATGTACAAAACATTTACCTTTCTACCTCTCTACTAGGAAGTGCTAATTGTTTTTCATATACCCCGACAACACCAGAGTTCACTGACTTTATGATTACTGAAAATGAAATTTACCCTTTTAGGATTGATAATGTTATTATAAACTTACAAATTTTGAAGATTTGTTTGAATATGCTTTATGCTATTTATTTTCTTCTCATTGTTAAGATATACATAGTCCATACAAGAGCCTCCAATATATATTTTATTCCATATCGATATCTGGTTGTCTTATATTCTTCCTCATAAAGCGTATTTATTTTAATTTATTGTCTTTATTTTTTCCAACCCATTGATGTGTATTGTTAAACTTTCAGCTTTTCTGAGTGTTTTTAACTATCAATTATATAAACCACAAAGTTAATTTTTACTTTACTGATATACAATTGATTTTGATCCAAACCAATAGAAAAGAATTGTATTGTCCAACAGAGATTCTAATAGTTGAAATATTTATATAAACTCCTGCAAACTACGATAAGGAATATCAAAATATTTTTTATATTTATAATTTGTAATTTAAATTAGTTTTAATTATTTTCAGAAATGGAAATGTAAATAATATTAATCTAATTAATAATATTAGGTATATTAAAATAATTAATTAAAAAAGTAATAACGAAAACCGTTTTTGAATATAATATATTAATATTATTGTATACGACTAATCAATGACCATATGTTATGATAATATTTAGGAAAACATGAAATCCATACAATAAAATACAATTAAAACCAAGTTAGACAATATGTGTTAGATTATTCAAATAGACATGTGTTAGAAAATAGTTTTTACTGCGTAAATATTTTATACACTATCCCTGTCTCAAAATCACGAGATGTTTGTTTATCTTTTGATTCAAAAAGAAGAGAAGCAAGTCAGCAAACACAATTGCCCTCCTCATCTTTTTATACATCTGTGATCCCTTAATACTATTCTGGCCGAAGTAAGCGAAGCGAAACGAAAGCTCGACACGAAGACACATGGATATTGATGGTGCGCGGATAACCTGTTCGATTGTCATGTGTTCTAAGGGCTATAGTAAGAATGACGTTTATTGAAGAATTTATTTCATACTGATGTTGTAGTATAAAAAATATATTTTTCTATACCATCTATTGTTTTAACTAAAATATTATAAAGCAAAATAAAATTGATAAATCTTATTTTCTCCATTATTAAAATATTAAATCATAAAAATTAAACTAAAATAGCTACCTTTTGCTGGTTTTTATCTATAAGTTATATTTGAATTATTATTATTACTACTAGAAACTTTAATTTATTATCTCTTACCCGATAGTTACAACAAAGAATAATAATCAATAATATCCTACTTAGTATTATGTGCATAGTTGAGTGGGTATACATAGAGTGTAATGCATGTATTGCAGTTGTAGAAATATTGAAATGTATTTACGGTTTTAAAGTTATACCCTATGTACCTATCGCGATACGAAAGTACCCATATTCCATAAGTTGACTAACATTAAGTAACGTTATATTAAAAGAATCTTTAATTAGTGGTGTCCCTGGTGTCATTGGTGAACTGAATGAATTGGTTGTAACATGAAACAGTTCAACAACTATATCGGAAGACAAACTCTGACGATTTGATGACGATTATTTTCGAAGACAATCAAATATTCATACTTAAGAACAAATACATTTTTTCGTTTTAAATAAAAAATATTATAATAATAAATACAATTTAAAATAACCAGGGAACTCACTTTTTCTGTATATTATTATGGTTCGAGATTATAACTCTTCATTGTAGGTCAATGTAATGGATTTTGTTTTTCTATTGTAAATCAAACCGTATTTATACAATATTCAAATTTAGCATTTTCTAGACATGATAATATAAGCTTAAAATTATATTGACTTTTTGAGCTATTTATAGGACATTTTAAATATTCAGGGTTTAGCTTGGACAAAAAGAAGCGAATAGCTTAGCCATAAAAATCATAAATTGTATTGGTAAATATCTAGCAGCATTTATGTATATGTATACATAATGGCTATAAAAAGTATATGGTTAAGCTCGAAATCTAGATAAATTGTTACTTAAGTTGAGCATATGTGTAAATATATTTTAATAATGTTACTATAGAAAGTATCCAATTAAAAACGACTAAACCATAGTAAGTAATAAACAGTATGTAAAATGTTAAGCTATTGTATATTGGTATGTACATTGTTATTAAAATATGTTATATAAATAAATATTAGCTAAGTAAACTATTTAGTATCTAAGCTATTGTTATTGTTATTATTAATATTTTTCGCTTAATATTCCGATTTACCAATTTTTAATCTCAAGTTAAAAGTCTTATGAAATATGTATATTAACTACTAAACTGAGGTCAAGAATGTTGTTTAAAATGTAATTTCTAACTAATTTATATTGTTTCATTAAAAAAATAAAATAAAAAAAACAAAAAAACGTTGTTGGAAACTTTGAAACCCCTAACAGTACACATAAATTTAGGATTCTAGTCTGGAAGTCTTGTGTAAAGTTTATAAAGTTGGTTGGTGGTATGAATGTCGTACAGAGAAAACCATTGTATTCGATCGAAAAGGTCTGATTGATTACGCGTGCAACGAATTCTGTCTTAGCAAAGCGTTCTTCTACTATAAATCAGTCGGCGTCGAACCCTAAAGACTCGTAACCGGAGATTACTACTGTCTTCCATACGGACCAATGAAAATTTATCTTGTCACAAGTAAATATATTCACAGTTTGAGTTCTATAATTGCTAGATAGTAATCTTTGCCATTTTCGCAGCAATATTGATTAGTTGTTTAGAATAATAATTATAAAATAATACATTATATCATAATTTGACTACTGTTATTTTTTTTTTAATAAATAATTATTCTATACTCAATCATAATATAATCATATTATGCAACTGGAAATTAGGTTTATTGGAAAATATGAACCAAAGTTTTTTTTTTCATAGATATTTATATGTTCAGTATTTTTGCATTTTCGTACTTTCGATTATTTTTCTTTATATATTTTCACTCATGTACGCATGGCTGCCTTATTCTTATATGTATTCATCAATTTGAAAATACAAAGGCTTTATCTGGAAGGGAAATATTATTCATAGTCACATGCTGTACGTGGATTAACTTCTCTATGTGCACTGAAAATTGGATATTGTAGCAGATAATTGGTGTGGAACTATAATTATATTATAATACTTATTACTTAAATACCAATTCAAAAGTATAACTAATTTAATTTATAACTTCTTTTCTTTTCCTTTTTTATTTTGAAGTATAGGGTCAAGAAAACTAAAATTATAAGTCGCACGTTGTTTTAATTAACTCGTATTTTTACTACCAATTAACAAAACCCACAATATAAAATATCAAAAAATATATTTAGAGTTCATTTTAAAACCAATTTTCAAGTGTACTTTATTTTTCGAAATCCAAGAAAATATCTTATATAAAATAATATACCCGTTGAGTGCCAGACGTTCAAAATAATTACTAGGAAATACCTGATACCATTTCTGATCGATTTTAGATTCTGAGTGGAGCGAAGAATGTACTGATTTTACATTGATGTGTGTTTTTTTGTGCTTGTGTAAACGATAAGTAGTTAAAATAGTTCCTCGACTTTCAACTTTTTTTTTTTGGTGATAAATGCATTTAGTTGGTACGGTTTGGAGGTCAAATATTCATATTTTTCCAAGTAGTTTTCAAATAATAAAAGGTAAAACAGAAATGTTTACGAAAAACCAGTAATTCGTAAAAATCAATTTAGTTCCTAATAACCATAAATACTTAAAATTTTAAAAATATTTCGACCCTTTTTGATCTATTTATATGCATGAGAGCTTTTCGCTTTGTATTAGTTCTTTTGCAATTATTGTCAAATTTTGCTTTGTCAAAAAACTTGAAAATTTTATACGAGGTTCATCATAAGTTGTTGTTCGTAGAAATTAAAAAAAAAACATTGAACGTAAATCCACAATATTTTTTTATGAGCACCTGAAGTAAGAATTTTGGTAAAACTCGTCAAAATCACCAACATTTTCAAATTATTTTGAGTTAAAAATTCATAAAAATGTTCTTTTTAAATTTAATATTTTAAAATGTACCTAATTCAAGATTTCTTTTATGTTGTATGAAGTTCTATGTTTTGGTATACAATGTTTTCAAATCATTGAATTCAAATTTAACAAATCCCTTACAGTGACCCACACTGGTACTACTTTCTCACTTTTTTTTTTAAATTTCAACAATTTTAAAATCACGTTCTTTAATAACAAACAATGTACATAATTATATCATATATTCCATCCAAAAATAGCAGTTAGTGATAATCCGTTGTGTAAAGGTAAACACCAAATATAAATAGAATTGTTTAATCTTCTAAAGTTCATGAATTGTAAGATTTTTCGATTAATGTTTGTTTATTCTTTAGCACACGTCTTAGTTCCATGTATGTTTCGTAATAGTTTATAACTCGCAATTAAAACAAAAAAAAGCTTAAAGAAAAAAAATCGTTGCTCTTTATGTCACAGCTTGCATTGTTAATTGTACACAAACGTCGAACACAAATTAAAAATATTTTAATTCATATCATATTTACGGTTTTGTCGTTTAAACGGTTCACTTTGCAATGGAGATCTACATTCGCTCCAATTTGGACTGTGACGTTGTTATGACTAGATGTTTCATCAAAATATGGAGCCACTTTATCTTCTTCTGTTGTCGGTGAATTGCTCGTAGTAGGTTCCCATAAAACGTGATTGAGTAATGCTTCAAGATTTCCATCGTTTTCAAACGTTGCTTCTAAAACATAATACATTTAAGCATATTTTTACTAACAAATTATAATAAGTATAAGTTATTGAATTGGTACTTGTTGCTTTTATCCAGAGTTATTAATTGCATTTTTTTTTATGACATTCAGGTGAAAAATAGATTATCTTAGATAATACCAATCGAATAAAACGAATATTAATTAGAAATAATCATATTTCAAAAGTATTACAATAAAAGCTTACTTAATGCCTATAATGGAGACGTATTTATGACGGACGAAATATTAAAACCCCGGAAAAAAAGATAGGTATTGCAATGTATTTTGACCTGTCTTTATCAAACCCTCTCTATTACGGACACGGACTATCCTATTTAGCGTCACATGATCACCACTTTATTTAAAACAACGTTTTTTTTTTTTTTATATAAATTAAAACCTATTTTTGGCATTGAATTTTATTTTTTCTTATTGTTAGGTATGTAATAGTTACATTTTATAATGTCCAACCTTGTATCATTTTAATTGTTGTGCTATGTTAACTACATATTTATGAAGATAGTAAAAATAACTTCAAAAGATCACAAAAAAAGAGTTATAATATATCATTTTTTTAATCGTGTTAACACTGTCTTACTGTTTACAAAAATAAAATTTTTTTTCTACACATAGTATATTATATGAATATATTTTTTGACAGATTTAATTAATTGCTCTATTATTATTTGTTTTGTCGTATACTATCTGCAAAAACTAAAATAAAGTGGATATAACTTTTTTAGAATTGTTAATTAATTAAACTCAATCAAATGCCGAGAACAAAATTATCTAAAACCAAAAGTGGTAACTATTTGGATTTTTATTAAGAAGTTTCATATTGGGTTAAAATGAATTAAGAAACAATATAATCGTTTGTACAACACAACAAGAGTCTAAGAGTACTTATGCAATTGATAAAAGTTTACTCTAATATAATGTTATAATTTTAGCAAATAAAATATTCGTATGTTCCTAAAATATAAATATAATAATTTGAAACGCTGTATACTATACAGTTGAATTTTGATTGTATACAGATTTATTAACTATAGGTACCTACCTACATTTTTTATAGGTTGATTTATCCCCGAATTGGTGACAAATTAGTGATAGAAATTAGATGATATTTTAATCAGTGATCTGAAGTGATCAGATAAATAAGTGTAATTTATCATTCTAAGTATTTTATTTAAAAATTAAAATATAATTTATCTTCAGTTCGTGCTTGATATTCGACCGATAAGCACGGAATTTTTTACTCTAATCTCTTTAACACTGTCTCCAACTCGTATGTATTTGATATATTTTTTATACAATAGATAATATCTTCTATACTTGTTATATTATGCAAATAATTGTATGCACAATCGCCTCAAATCATTTATCTAATTAAAATTTCCAAAAACTAAAGTTTAACTAACGAGTTGTCTTATTTTTCATTATCGCCAAACATGTTGAATATGCAGTAATCAAAAACCATTGAATTCACATCTTTGTTTTAAATATTTCTAAAAATAAACTATTCATGGTTCTCTCCACAGGAAATGGTGTTAAATAAATTTAACAACGCAATTGTATTAAGTATTTTTAAAAGAAAAAAATACAGTCTCATAAAATATTTTACCATGTGGTAGCTAAACCATACAAAATAGTTTTTTGAAACTTACACTAGTCTACTTGTCACGAGTGACAATTCAATTTGTTCAGCTATTTCTGAACTTGAACATGTACGCGTTTAACATGCTTCATTATTCTAGTTTTCTCCATTCTCCACTATTTGGTATACATTTCGAATATACTCAGATAAAATGTCTTATATCTGGAAAATTTCAAACTTCATTCACATGCGTATAACATTTGAATTTGTAGCTTAAGATCAATAAAATTATAACTTGAGAACGTTTATATTTTTGACTTATACGAGATACATTTTATATAAAGAAGTCTCTATTGATATCAAATTTAAACTTAATTGACAGAAACTGTTGTGTGATCATTTTGACAACATTAGTTTAAGTCAAATGCACATTGAAATATATCATTTTTTTGGCCTGCAAGCGAACCTCCATCTTCATTAAATCTCCAAATTTGAGACTATAACCATTGAAACAAACCTTACTCTTTTGAAAATTGTACCGAACTGGCTGGAAATTTTACTTAAATTTGAATATTCTATACATTTTTTTTTTTTTTATCATAGAACATGACACAATTTTATTGTACATAATATAGTAATTACTATACACATTAAAGTATTATTCATGATATTGTTTTTATCTATCTTTAATTTACGATAATAACTAAACTTTTTAAAAAATAATTTACATAGTATTAGAACTCATAGATTTTATTTTTTTTAATGCATCAATGTATTATTGAAAAATATTATGTTCATTGACCAAAAAAAAATTTAAATCCTAATTTTTCTTAAAATTTAAAAAAAACCATACGTGTGTTCAGTGATATTATATTTAAAAGTGTGTATTTACAAGGATCAGTATAATAGTAATATATATATGGTTTGTATACATTTAGTTAAATTTGATATAATAATTTATGATTTTATATTTAAATTTGAAACACGTGTTTAATCGACTGTTATGAATTTGTTTATGTAATCAATCGTTATTGTATGAAAATATTCAGTTCATTAAGCTGATGGGGTGTTTATAAAATATAAATATATGTATGTAAGAATAACCTTATAGTAAACATTTAAATGAGTTGTTTAAATGAGTTTGTTACATGTTTTTATTTTTCACAATAATGCGTTATTGTGTATGCATAATGATCATTGCATAGTAATATTATTCACGTTTATTAGTGTTTTGTTAAGGTAAATGTTTATTCTAGAATTATATTATATACTTGATGAAAAATATACTATTTTGTGATTACATTTTTCGAAAAGCATAATAAACGAGTAAAATAAATTAGTTTATAGTTTCTACAAATAATTTATTCAGGTTTTTAGTATGTGATATTTGTTAAACAGTAACGTAGGTATCGACTTAAATGAAAAACGTTTCTACTGATTAAATGTGAACCTGGTTTTTTTTTTTAGCTGCTAGAGAATGCTGTTTGAGAATCCCCCCGTTGCCTCAAAAGAAAACGATGCCGTGACTTATTACAGTAAACTATCACAGATGAAAGGGTCGCTAATGAGTTACTCATTCGTAAGACTACATGACAATATTAACAAAAAATGAAAAATTAAGTTATACTTATTGTACGAAAAAAATGTATATAATATCGTATATCAAAACTAAAGAAACAAAATTCGAATAAACTTATACTAGACGATAATCGTATTATAATTTCGTTTCCTTGTAGTATATAGTTTTTTTTTTTAAATTATCGCTAATAAATACAATACAATGCATTTAAACTTAACTTAGAAAAAAAGTTTTCATTGTAATTTTTAAAAATGATATTGTATAAGAACAAGAAAAAATGTGAAGTTATATTTATTATAAAGTGTTTCAATATAAATGTTGAAGTTTTTAATAAAACTAATAAAAAATATATGTCTCTTGTACATCAAAAAAACTTATTTAAATTTAAAAATATTTATATTATTATATTATTTTCTATACTTTAAGGTTTAATTTATTTTTTGATACATTTATTGATCTTCGAATATTTATTTGGTGATAGAAATGTGTCACGTAATATATATATATTTTTTAAGCTAATTATTGTTACTTCACTCGTTTACTATAAAATGAATAAAGAATATTTGCCTTTTGAGTATCTATGTACATAAATACGAACTATGAGCGTATGACGAAAGGTTTTCTGTTTATAAGACAATAGTTGTTATTATGGATATTTGAAATTTAAATATTATTTCCATTTATTTATATCCATTGACCGGCGTTGTGAATAGGCAATTTCAGTACATTGACGTACAGTGTTGTTCTGTTCATGGGAATGAGAATGTCGGGAACGGAAAAGTGCTGTGAACGCAATAATTTATAAGGTTTTATACATTATTTATATATTTATTGAGTTTCCATTAAATATAAATACATATTGTAATTCGTAAGCTAAAAAAATAAAACAAATTTCATTCAGACCTATTAAATAGCGTCTGCAGCTCATATTATGTTTTGACATTTTCTTATTTTTCAAATTAGAAATAACACTTTATGTGCGAATAATTATACGTTATTTTACCCGTTGATGTAAATAGAAAAATAAATTGTCAATTTAACAATTATTTTTTTTTTAGACTGCAGGTGAACAAGCCTATTTCTAATATTATATATTTGCTGATCTTGCACAGCGTTTCCCGTGGATTTATCCGTTCTTGAACTCTGTTAAATGTAAATTGCAAAGATTTTAAAACAGTTATTTCAGGTTATTTTAACCAAGTATAAAATACAGGTCTACAATTATATCCAATTATTATAACTATTTTTTTTCTGTAGCCAATACCAATAATATATGTGCTCAAAACTACAGTACAATTATAGATTATTTGTGAGTCAACTAAATTCAACATGTATGTGTTTAAAAGTAAAAAAGTAAGTATAATATAAATAATCCTATGACACTTTACGGTTCTTGCAATCTATTGATGAAAATCGATTTACAACTGTGCATTTTCATAACGGTTATCTATGTTAGGCCTTTGATTTTATATTATAGATGTTCCAGTCGAAATATATTATGATACAAACACAATTACAATGACAAATTTTATGATTTTTTACCTCTTAGTTATTTACATAATATTATTGATGTTAACACAAACCACTGGAGACACATTCAACGAACGCTTAAAAGTCGACGGAAATACAATATCGTTAAGATTGGTTGGTATTCGTCTTTATGTGTTTGCATAAAAAGTATTTCCACAATTAAAAAAGTATATCATGAAAGTGATCATTGTAATAAATTGCTTGTATACTTTAGTATTTAAAAAATATATTTGTATTTTGTATACATTTTTCTACTAATTATAACAGTAATATGATCTGTGATCAACCGTTAAAATGAAC